ACTCGTCCAAAACTTCTTTATGCACACTGGTTGCCTCCACAGGCATCGACTTAGCACGAAAATTCACCCCGTAGCCGGCGATAAGTAGCAGAGTAAACGCGAACTTCATGGTGCTTGCAGAAAACATGGCCTCTGTATTACTAGTCCACTGTCCCTGGTCAGTACCGCGTATAGACAATCCTAGGCAATCTTACTATCAAAGAATATTTCATTAAAATTCAGAGCGCATCGTCTTCGTTCTTTTGAGGTTTTTATTTGCTTTCATGCCCGGTGGTCTCGGGGCCATGTATTTAAAAGGCCAATTCAAATTATAGTACTGTTGCGCGCATGCCACAGTTTTCCAAAACCACAGTCCTGAGTCACACACAAAGGAGCTCTCCTAAGCCGTTTAATTTCGTCGAGGAATCCCAGCGAGAAGTTTGGAGAACTTTTCACGATGATTGCAAGTCTGGATAGCCGAATACTGAATGAGCGTCACTGCCTTTTGTACTGTGCTCTTTCTTTGCACACGTCTGTACCTTAAGGGGCCTATGTAGCTGGTTGTGTACGATACCTGTCCTTCAACGCTGACCGCGTTACTGCATTTGAAAACGGGACACAAATCGGTAGACACCAATCAAATTTGGGACCCCGGAAACTAAATGTGGATTAGCACAACTTGAAAAATCAAGAAATGTGTTTTCACTTTGAAGAGCTCCAATGAGCAATCGACGAAGCTGACAAATCCTCCAAGAGAATGCACAAACGCTGATATTTGGAAGGTTTGTATATATTGGCAGTACTTTGTTCATGTAGCCCACTGCATATCTTGGAAACCACCCGAACATGAAAACAGTCTATAGGTGACGAGAAGTACAATATACGTCTTCGCTACATGCCTGGATAAATTAAATGTGCTATTGTAATTTTTTTTCACGACAGATTTGTCTTACTTGTTTTGGGGATAAACTTCAAAATACTATCGTATATGGTCTGTAATTGTGTGTACATATGTAACTATATAGGCTCTTCTCACCAAGGCATTATGTGTGCAGTTTTAAGGAAATCTATGAAGCAGAGGAGCGACAACAACAATGTGTTTAACCACGCTGGCATGGATGCTGCACAATCAAGGGTCCTGGAACTCACCGCTTTCAACAAGCCCCTGGACTCTGCGGTCAACTTCACGCTTAATACAAAGACAAGTTGTGTTCTATTTTGTTTCTCCTTTGTGGGCACTACTCTTTTGGCTTATTTGTCATTGCCACGTGTTAACGGGAAATACTGAGAAGGCATGAATTTTCGACAAGGAAATTTGTATTCACAATGCCCATCTATGTATATATGAAGCACGGATACGGACATGCCAAGGTCATCATTCGCCAATAGGG